CCGAAATAACGTGCTCAACTTTTTGGCTCAGCTCTGGTACTCTCTTCGGTCCCAAGCTAATCGATTCACCCCTCGAAACATAGGAAAAACCAATAACCCCTCTGACAGTTCTCAAACTGATTGTTGCCCGATATAGGCAGGTAGTGCTGGCAGTTCTAGTACTGCACTCCCAATATTGTATGCAAGTTGATTAGATAAAATGGTCCAACACAACGTAGGTTTAAATAGACAATGTAAGGGAATAAAAAAGGAGTTAGTAGAGTTCCAACAGTCAAGAAATAAAGATCGTTTTTTCTAATTAAATAAAGTTTTGGTCTTCGGATGGGAAGTAAAGCCGTTGGTCCTCGGTTCATGAGTTGATGGGTCGATAGGTAGGGTCCAGGTGTGGGAGCTGCCTTCCTGGCACGTCAGTAGCATTGGTGCTCAGCACGGAAAACAAGATCGACGGAAAAAACAAACAAAAGGAAAAAGTTTTGGTGATCTTGAGTGCCTACTCCGCCGATTTTGCCGTTCCGTTTTTTGGTGAATAGTGTTCGTGTGTGATCCCGAAATACCCCGCCGGAAAACCACGATCCTGCCCTAACACCCTCATTTTATCTGTCAAACTTTCATAGCGAATCAAAACAAACGTTGCGTAGTACTAGAATTTCAACTACACAGAAACAAAATCCATTGGCAAAATTACTATATTGATGGTTTAAATTAAATACTCCCACCAATAGATTTGTGCAGAAACGAAATTCATTTAATTTTACTATTTTTTCTATCAAAACTACTATGCCGTTTGAGTAAGCATAGTAGTTTTGACAGAATGGTATTAACTTTGTTTATACTATAAGTCAACTATACTGAAATCATGGTAGATTTAACAGCATTAAGCGTAGTTATACCATTATACTGAAAATAAGTGTTTTCTGCAAAATAGTATTTCTAACTATGTGTTTCAGTGTAGAATGGGGCACGTTAATCGTTTGCTTGGGACCAATAGGCTAGTCAAGTAGTGAGCCAATTTAAAATCGTTAGTTTCGTATTGATTGTTGCTAGAAGGTTCCGAAGAAACGTGTTCAACTTTTTGGCTCAGCTCTGGTACTCTCTTCGGTCCCAAGCTAATCGATTCACCCCTCGAAACATAGGAAAATCCACTAACCCCTCATTTTATCTGTCAAATTTTCATAGAGCTTTTTGACGTTTAATCGGCGCACACTACACAGAAATTCAAAACAACCCAAAATTAAGTTCTTTTCACTCATCTCCCATGTTCCGTACAATAAGCCAAATTTGGGTAAACCGGCTCAAAGTAGTTTGCATTTAAGCACGGCAAAAAAAATTACCCATCGCTAAGTAATTTTCAATTTTTTCTACCCAAAATTAAGTTCAATTAACTCAAATTTGGGTATATCGCATATTACTCAATTTTGGCTTCTTGTACGGAACTAGACGGTTGAGTCGAATCTTTCGTTCTATTTTTGACAACAATAGCGAGAGGAAATGAAACGGACAGAGGTCAAATAACTCAAATTTGAGTTTAAAAAACCCAAGCGGTGGGTAGTTTTGTTTTTCTGTGTAGTGCACCATTTCAAGCGAACGAGTGCGAGCAAGAGGGAAACAGATTAGTGGGAAAACAAACCGTTCATTCATCCATGTGTGCTAGATAGAGAAAGACGATTAAACGTCAAAAAGGTCTATAGCGAATCAAAACAAACATTGTGTAGTACTAGAATTTCGACTAAAATGGGGTACGTTAATCGTTTGCTTGGGACCAATAGGCTAGTAAAGTAGTGAGCCAATTTAAAATCGTTAGTTTCCACCGGTTGGTAGCAAGGTTGCAAAAACTCATTTCAGCTAAAATAATGTTTTTCGGAATAATAAAACCAAAAGATGGTATGATGACATGTTTTACTTGTAAGGGAGCATCCATAAATGACGTAGCATATTTTTGATCAATTTTAACCCCTCCTCCCCCCCTCGTAGCGTATTTGGCTATATCCAATACATGGCCGGTCACAAATTCTGAAACCCCCACCTCCCCCCTCAAATGCTACGTCATTTATGCATCTTCCCTAACTTACAAGAAGAGGTTACACAGTATGCGTTTGAAACATAAAATCTGTAAATTTTGCTTTCTATGAGTCACAATCAGCGATTTGCTGATCGCTGAGTAAGTGAGTGAGTGATTGTGTGAAAAATCGCTGATTGTGACTCTCATGAAGTGAAATAAACAGGTTTCATATGTCAAACACACTCTTTGTAACCTCTTCTTTTATCTTACCTATTCAAAATATGATCATACACGGATAGAAATCTCCTTATACCTTTTGGCAAATTTCCATTGCTGATTATTCATAAAATGTATAAGTCAACTAATAAGCAGACGCCTTGCAAAAAGTTAATAAAGATAATGTGTCAAATGAAATGTATAAGCGGTCACACATACCTTTTATGCATTCTAATAGGACCTATGTGGTTTGTCTTATGGAATGTATAAGGCTGATGCTTTGGCAAAAATGTATAAGTGAAACACATGAATTAAATAATTGATTTTCGTTTCGTGATAGCATGCAATTATTTCATAATTAAAAAAACATTGTTTCAGCTGAAATGATATTTGCAACCTTGGTTGGTAGTACTGACGGTAATTAAAATTATCTATCCATAATTAATGTAACAAAAAGTATTGAAAATGTAGTTAATGTACTTTAATTACGAAATTTCAACTGTAATTAATGCAGTTAAAAAGTAGTTAATGTTCTATATTGTGTAATTAATGTAATTAAAGCAGTAGTTAATGGAATTCATTTAATTACAGCTGTAGAGTTGTGTCACCAAATCTCAACAGCAAACAACTTTTTGGTAGTGTTAGCTTTAAGCTAGAAATTCAAATCGATTTTATTATTACAAATAAACACTTTAGATTAAGTTTACTTACAATTTTAGTATAGGAATTGTCAAACTGGAGAAATCTTATCGTGAATCCACGTTTCTAGGTTAGCTGTAAATATTAGTTCGTAATTTATTTTTTAAGTTCAAAGAGTTTTAGTTTGGCTACTTACGTTAGCCCTAGGTTCGATTTTACTAGTTTAGACAAAATTCAATAGTTTTAAGCACTAGTAGTAGTTAAGTTATTTATTCGAGATAAGCACGCCCGGCACTTCCCTAATCGTATACAATGGCTTTCGAACTGTGTGTAACGATGACTATCAATTCACCACTATTTTTGACGTTCCTCCTCATCGTTTGTCACTTGTCATCCATGACAAATCGATCGGATGCGGCCTGCTGGAAACCGTGTCGATCTACATAGGCAGCGTCGCTGCATCGAGGGGTGTTGTCGTCACATACCCCCGCCCATAAACCTAGGTGTTGTCCCAGATTTGCTGGAGGCTCCATATGTTTACACAATTCTCCGACGTCCAACACTGCTAGCCTAACTACAGGTCGCCGTAGAACTCCACTAACTGTTCGCACTAACGCTTGGCGAACTCTTCCATCACGTCCTTTGATGACTTTCTCTACCCGTGCACGGATCCATTGGTTTCGCCCAGTCCCATTCACCACAAGGACTAGATCTCCCACTTCTAGCTCCTTGACTTCCTCGAACCACTTGCATCGGCGGGTTATCACCGGCAGGTACTCCCTTATCCACCTCTTCCAAAACTCCCAACTGACGTTGGTTACTGGTTGGATTTTGTTACCCGTTGAACTGCCCAACAGAAAGTGGTTGGGGGTCAACGATTCTTGATCCGCAGACTCCAGTGGGTTGACCAATCCTTCTGCTTCGTAGATGATGGTTTTCAGAGTCTCATCATCGGGTTTTCGAAGCGTGTCCAGAGCTGAACCAACTGCTGTCTTGACTGACCTGACGAGGCGCTCCCACACTCCACCCATATGCGGAGCTGCGGGGGGAATGAACTTCCAAGCAGTTTCCGCATTTGTGAAGGTGGTTGCTATGGTCTCATAGCTGGCCGCAATCTCCTCCTGAAGCTGCCTGTTGGCTCCTTGGAAGCAAGTGCCATTATCGGAGTAGAACCATAGAGGTAACTCTAAGACTAGAAGGTCCCGAAGTAACGTGCTCAACTTTTTGGCTCAGCTCTGGTACTCTCTTCGGTCCCAAGCTAATCGATTCACCCCTCGAAACATAGAAAAATCCACTAACCCCTCATTTTATCTGTCAAACTTTCATAGCGAATCAAAACAAACATAGTGTAGTAATCGAATTTCAACTAGAATAGGGTACGTTAATCGTTTGCTTGGGACCAATAGGCTACTAAAGTGGTGAGCCATTTTAAAATCGTTAGTTTCGTATTGATTGTTGGTAGAACTCTGCCGGTGACCCACGACGACTTATGAACCTCCGTATGGCCATAACACATGACTCCGCAGACAAGCTATGTACTACCTCCAACCGGTGGAAACTAACGATTTAAAATTGGCTCACTACTTGACTAGCCTATTGGTCCCAAGCAAATCGATTAACGTGCCCCATTCTTGTCAAAATTCTAGTACTACACTATGTTTGTTTTGATTCGCTATGAAAGTTTGACAGATAAAATGAGGGGTTCGTCGATTTTCCTATGTTTCGAGGGGTGAATCGATTAGCTTGGTACCAAAGAGTGTACCAGAGCTGAGCCAAAAAGTTGAGCACGTTTCTTCGGGACCTACTAGTCTTAGAGTTACCTCTATGCTACCTCCATGTGTACAGCGCGCATTGTGAGACACGTAAATAGCGCGATCCAGCGTTTCACCTGACTGCGGCCCACCTTGACTAGCACCGGTCCAAAATAATCTACCCCGACGTACGTGAATGGGCGTACAAAGGGTTGCAACCTTTGTTCGGGAAGAGGTGCCATTACTGGTGATTTTGGGATGGTTTTGGATATCTTGCAAAACACGCAGTTCTTTGCAACCTTTTGAACAAGGGATCTAAGTTTGGCCACCTCGAAGCGCTGTCGCATTTCGTTCACCACTGTCTCGCGGATGGCATGATGAAATCGACGGTGTTGTCAATCCGTAATGAGATATGTCACAGGATGACACTTTGGGAGAATAGCAGGATACTTTGCTTTGAAAGGCACATATGTTGCGGCTCCAATACGACCACGCATTCGAAGAATTCCTTGCTCATCCATGAAAGGCCAGGTTTTGTAGATGGAGCTCGACTTGGACACGGTAGTGTGGTGTATCTCTGGAGTACCTCGAGTTTCCTCTAATATGGTTATCTCTTCTGGAAAAGCATTCGCTTGCGCCATCTTCCATAGTAGCATTTCCGCTCTAGCTAGTTCTCCCTGACTGAGTACCTTTAAATGTAGATGCTGTCCGATGTTCTTTCGCCGCGAGCTGTCGATGAAGCGGATCACGTATGCCATCGTTCGCTGCAGCTTCGTCCACCGGTTGAACCACGAATAATCCATCGGTGGTGTAGGATTCCAGTGCACCTGAACTCTTCGTACTTCTTCGTGGGTCGTCACTGCTGGAGGCTGTTCCGGCCAAGATTCTTCCCCGTAGCGTAGAAACTCGGGTCCTTGCAACCAGGCGCTGTTGGATCCTAGATTCGGCCCGTTCTTCCATTTTGTGGTGACATCCGATACGTTTTTCTTCGATGGGACCCACCTCCAGTCCTGTGGATCACTCAGAGTTAGAATTTCTCCGATTCGAACCGACACAAACTTGTGAAAACGCCGGTGGTCAGATCGAATCCACGCCAACACCGTAGTAGAGTCACTCCAGAAAAAGCGTTGAGAGACCGGAAACGTGTGGTACCCTAGAACCGAAGCCAGGAAACGAACTCCCAACACTGCTGCATTCAGTTCGAGCCGTGGGATTGAGAGCGTCTTCAGAGGAGCTACTTTGCTTTTTGCTCCCACAAGTACCAGCTGAACCCTGCCATTATGCACCAATCGAAAGTATATGGCACATGAGTATCGCTAGCGTCCACGAAGGCATGTACTTGCAGACCTTCAAGGGTATCCGGGAATGTTGAGAAGTAGCACCGTGGGATTTTTATATTATCCAGCATCGGAAAAAGATCCACCCACTGGCGCCATCTTTGGTAGAGGTCCTCGTTTATTGGTTCATCCCAGCCCGTTCCTGATGCCCAGGTTCCTTGGATGAGGATTTTTCCGTGAACGAGAAAGTGGGAAATAAGCCCCAGTGGATCGAAGAGGCTCATAACAACCTTCAACACTTCTCGCTTGGTGGGAACGTGTGTTACATCCACGATAGTACGAAGATCTTCTCGTAGATTTACCGTGTAAGTGAAACAATCTTCCTTAAGGGCCACCCACATTCGATCCGTTTGCGTTGCGTTGACGTAAATTTGACAGTTAGACAATAGATTTAGCTGTCACTTTGCCGCAACGCGTCCGATCCGGATCTAATGTGCGTGGGCCTTTAGGGAGCCACTTCATCCCAAGTACAGATTCAGAAGTGCCTTCTCTTTCAAGCATCAGATTCTTCGGTTCATCGGCAGAAAATTGTCCTATCTCACAAAGAAGTTGAATTGAGTTCGAGCGGAATTTGCGGATGTCAAAGCCTCCCTTTGCGTGAACCAGTATTACCAACAATCAATACGAAACTAACGATTTTAAATTGGCTCACCACTTTAGTAGCCTATTGGTCCCAAGCAAACGATTAACGTACCCTATTCTAGTTGAAATTCTATTACTACACTATGTTTGTTTTGATTCGCTATGAAAGTTTGACAGATAACATCAGGGGTGTGTGGATTCATGCAGAACATGCAGGGGTGAGTGAAATAGCTTGGGACTGCTTGGGACCGTTGTTCTGGTACTGAGTGAGCCAAAAATAATAATGATTTTCTTCGGGACCCAGTGGTCTTAGAGTTACCTCTATGGTATTACCTCTTTGACGACCTCCGCAGCTTCTTCGACGGTTATGAAGCTGTCCAAATAATCATCCACGTAATGGTTTTTGACTATGGCAGCGGTCGCACGTGGATAGAGTTCAGCAAATTCCTGTGCCTTTAGGTTTTTGACGTATTGCGCAGAAGCCGGTGAACAAGTAGCACCAAAGGTTGCTACGTCCATGATAAAAACCTGGATTGGATCGGAAGGACTATTTCGCCAAAGGAAGCACTGCGCCAAACGGTCTTGGATACGAATCAACAGTTGGTGAAACATTTCCCTGATGTCACCACAAACGGCCACGGGAAACTGGCGGAAGCGGCTGAGAACAGCTGGTAAAGGTGTCAGTAGATCTGGTCCCTTCAGAAGTTTAGAGTTGAAAGAGACTCCATTCGCCACCGCAGCTGCGTCCCAAACCAACCGTACCTTGTTCGGTTTCTTCGGGTTTACGACAACTCATAACGGAAGAAACCACATACGTTTCCTATCTGCGTTCGCCAATTCAGATTCAGTGGCTTTATGTCCATAACCCTTCTGTACGTACTCGGCGATTTGCTCGCGAACCCTCTCTCTCAAGGATGGATTTTTCTCGAGTTTCCTCTCCAATGACTAGAGACGACGAACTGCCATAGGATAGCTATCCGGGAAATCCGGATTCTCGTCCCGCCATAGAAGACCGGTCTCGAAACCACGATCCGTTCGTCTTGTTGTTTCCTCCAGAATCTTTCTCGCTCGCATTTCTTCTTCTGACTCCAGGGGTTCGTAGTTCCTAGTAACACCAACATCTTCCAGAACGAAGTAGTCCCGTAGTTGTTTGTTGAGCTGATGATCTGGGTCGATGAGTGCAGCAACATGGAAGTTGACCACTGCTCTCTGCATAGATGAACCAGCCACACACCCATAAACGCTCCAGCCTAGGCGACATTTGGCAGCGATCGGATCCGTTGGCCCACCTTCACGTAGCTTCAGTGGAACGCCCAGACGAAGATTGTCCAATCCAATCAGATCATGGACTAGATCATAATCTTCCAACGGAAGCCCTCGCAAATGAGGATACTGTTGGCAGAGTTCCTTGTACCTCAATGTTTGCGAAGGGAGCACCAGACAGCTAACCGTGCGAACTTGACACAGCTTGTGACGGTTATCATTACTTTTCCCCGATATGTCCAGCTGCACTCGTTGTGACGATGGTTCCTCACGGGTTACCTTACCTGTTCACTGCAATGTTAATGGTTCCAATGGCCCGGAAACGCCCAAACGATCAGCGATTGTCTCCTCTAAAAGAGTGATTGAGGATCCCTCGTCAATGAACGCAAAGACAACTTCGGTACACTTCCCCGCATATAAGATCAAAGGAAGAACACGGAACATAGGAAAGAGGCCGTGCCCCTGCGTGAGGTGGTTGGCAGACATATTCGGTGATGGTTGAGACGGGGAGGGGGAGTGGAGAAGTGTATTATGTTTCTGGTGGCAGCCCTCAATCCCACAACCTTGCCAGGCCACTTTCCATGACTGTTGAGACAAGTTCGACACAGTCCCTTTTGATGGACAAGCTTCCACCGTTCATCAACGTTGAACGATTTGAATCGATGGCAATCTGCCACTCGATGTCCCTCTCGTTCGCATGACGCGCATGGCTTACCTGGTTTCTTGTACGCTGACTGGATTGCAGCGACAGAGGAAGAAGCCAGAAGTGACGAATGCGTTTGTACCATACCTTTCTCCTTGGACCTCTTTTGTTCGCCCTTGAAATTCCGGCTGGAGCCCGGAAGATCAAAAGACAGTTGACTTGCTGCCGTTACTAATTCTCCCATGAAGTCACCGAATGTCGCCAATGTTTCATACTGTTGCTTGCTTTTATAGACCGCCCATTCCATTTTCAACGATCCTGGTAGTTTCTCTACGAGCTCCTGCATCAGCATCGGGTTAGCCAAATGCAGGAATTGCTTCGCCGCCTTCAAGTGATCCACGAGATTTTGTACGGTCAATCCGAATTCCACTACCGTTTCAAGTCGATCGTGTCTAGGTGCTGGAGCTCGATGAGCGATCGTATGAGAAGCTCGGGTCTGCCATACAAAGTTCGCAGGGTGTTGATGACTTGTGGGACACTAGAAGGAAGCAGCAGTCTACTTCGTACCGATTCTAATGCGTGCCCCTTCAAACATCGTTGTAAGCGGATGAGATTTTCCGCATCAGTGTACCCACATGCAGCTGTGGTTTGTTCGAAGCTGCATATAAATATCGGTTAATCTTCTGGATTGCCAGAGAAATGTGGCAATTCTTTTCCCATCACTTATCTAGCTGCCATTTTACTTGCCTCTAGAATTAGGGGAGGTGCTGCACGCTCCTGGCGTGGTATCGTTTGTGGAAACTCCGGAACTTTTCTGGGAACTGAGGGATCGATTCCCGGTCGATGCGGTGGACGATTTGGAATTTGGTGGAGATATCTATCGGTCATCTGCTGACCTCTAGACCAGTGACGAGGTACATTAGGCACTTGCGGTTTCGGAAAGTTAGGCAAAACAGACGGTTGACCAGACGGCATGGGACAATCATGCAAGTCCGAAGGCAGTTCTTATGGCATCAGAGGGTCAGGCAAAACAAACGGTTGATATAATGGCACCGGAGGTTGATTAGGCGTATGATGTGATGGAGTAACAGATTGCCGAGGTTCTTGCCTTTCTGGTTGTTCAGTGATAGATAGTGATGGGTTCGGTCTGTGCAAAGGAACTGCTTTTACAGAAACCGAGTCCACATCACGTGCTTCGGAAGAGCATTTATCCAGCCAATCGGATATCCTCTCCTGAGAATCGTGAATCGCTGCCACATTCACTCTGCTGCCACATTCACTCAATTGTCGGACAACACCTTGTTTCTTCTCCAACGACTACTTCCTGATCATCTGCTGCTTCTCTCGACAGGCCTTTTCATCATCCAGCTGTCGTTGCCGGATTCTAGCTTCCTCCTCCATAAGAGCCTTCATCTCCTCAAGACGACGTAGAGCTTCTTCCGACGTTTTCTTCTCGATTTATTTCTGAGCCTGCAGTTCCTGCTCCTTCATTAACTGTTCCTCTTCAATCAGCTTCATTTCGGTCCGTAGACGAGTTGAACGGGCACTGGAAGTTGTGCTGAGTACAACCGATGGGGCTGATTGCGAATCGAGTGACGCATCGGGATTCTTTTGGGCCTGCTTGGAAACAGATTTGGCTGTTGACGATCGGTAAGATCTGGTATCTGAAGGTGGGAGTTTGAGATGGCGAGACGACGACGACTCCTTCTTCTTACATTCCTTGCACACGTACGCCTGTTCCTTCACCGAATCATCCACACCCGCGCACCTAAATTGTTTCCACAGCCTGCACTTGTCACAAGCGACCCATTTCTCATCAGCAGAGTCAGGCTGGGTGCAAGACTTGCAACTATATCCCGCGGATTTGTGATGTTCCTCCATTCCAGACCCCGTGATAAAATTTTTAAAGATTTTGTAGGGTTGTGTCACCAAATCTCAACAGCAAACAACTTTTTGGTAGTGTTAGCTGGTGATACTCCAAGGAAGCCTTAGCGTGAAACTTCAATGGCACAAATGTCAGCTTCCACAAAACATACAATTATGAAAGTGGTACTCTCTGTTTGTAGTAGCACAGCAAACAAGGAGTAGCAATTTCAAATTTGTATGTTTTGTGGAAGCTGACATTTGTACCATTGAAGTTTCACGCTAAGGCTTCCTTAGAGTATCACCGTATCACCTTAAGCTAGAAATTCAAATCGATTTTATTATTACAAATAAACACTTCAGATTAAGTTTACTTACAATTTTAGTGTAGGAATTGTCAAACTGGAGAAATCTTATCGTGAATCCACGTTTCAAGGTTAGCTGTAAATATTAGCTCGTAATTTATTTTTTAAGTTCAAAGAGTTTCCCTAATAAAAAATAACCATAGACGAACGATAACCCAAATCATTGAACTATTCCACAAATGGTTTGGAAGATACCCAGAACACGTCGTTAAGCAAATTAACCATACAATTTTTATTAGGGTTTAGTTTGACTACTTATGTTAGCCCTAGGTTCGATTTTACTAGTTTAGACTAAATTCAATAGTTTTAAGCAGTAGTAGTAGCTAAGTTATTTATTCGAGATAAGCACGCCCGGCACTTTCCTAATCGTATACAATGGCTTTCGAACTGTGTGTAACGATGACTATCGATTCACCACTATTTTTGACGTTCCTCCTCATCGTTTGTCACTTGTCATTCATGACAAATCGATCGGATGCGGCCTGCTGGAAACCGTGTCGATCTACATAGGCAGCGTCGCTGCATCGAGGGGTGTTGTCGTCACAACAGCCGTTGCCTGCGTTGAAGTTAAAGGTTATTGCGTGCCCCTATTGCGAACCATTACTTGACATTACCAGAAATGATT